GCGTAATGGTTTTTATACTGTACAAACCGTATTTTCTATTGCCCTACACCAACCCTACCCCTAAACCTACCCCTCACAGGAAACTTTCCGCATTTTTAGATTTTCAAAAAAACTCATTCTGAATTATTTATAAGCCTTTTGAATTAGGGGGATGCTGAAAATGTCCTCATAAATCACCTTCTCGTTGTAATACCTATGTCATACCCATGTTATTATACAAATTTGTGTCCTCATAAACATGCGCGCGCGCACACACACACACACACACACACACACACACACACACACACACACACACTGGATCTGACGGCGTAAACGTGATACATCGTGACGTCACTCCAGGGCTCAAATTAACCCTTCATTCCTCGGCTTTTCTATTATACTTTAAGATAAATTGGTTAAAGCAGTACTTAACAAACCCTGATTAATTTTGGAATATTCTTACCAATCTTGTTTTCTCTAGGGTTCTACAATGGCATTGTAATTACAATATCATAAAATGCCTCTTAAATGATCACATTTTCATAAAGAAGAGCTTTTGCCCGTGGCTCCTAATTTATGAACAATTTTAGTCCTCACGGCTATTTCATTTGTAATAATGGTGATATTCTTTATAAAAAAATAAATCTTTGTTTTTCCCAGATTGAGTCATTAATAATGTTATTCTGGTTTCTCATTTAATAAATTCTGATGGTTACATACTGTACATTCCTATTAAGATTTTTTTGAAGATGTATTAGCCTACCTGTCACTGGATTTTCGCCATTATAATAAACGCTATTCCCTGTGGAGCCATAAATCTTCTTAAAGACTTAGTTAGATGCCAATTTTCTTTGTCAACAACTCATCTTTTTCATACAACGATTGGGGATATATATACAGTGGGTACGGAAAGTATTCAGACCCCCTTAAATTTTTCACTCTTTGTTATATTGCAGCCATTTGCTAAAATCATTTAAGTTAATTTTTTTTCCTCATTAATGTACACACAGCACCCCATATTGACAGAAAAACACAGAATTGTTGACATTTTTGCAGATTTATTAAAAAAGAAAAACTGAAATATCACATGGTCCTAAGTATTCAGACCCTTTGCTGTGACACTCATATATTTACCTCAGGTGCTGTCCATTTCTTCTGATCATCCTTGATGGTTCTACACCTTCATTTGAGTCCAGCTGTGTTTGATTATACTGATTGGACTTGATTAGGAAAGCCACACACCTGTCTATATAAGACATTACAGCTCACAGTGCATGTCAGAGAAAATGAGAATCATGAGGTCAAAGGAACTGCCTGAAGAGCTCAGAGACAGAATTGTGGCAAAGCACAGATCTGGCCAAGGTTACAAAAAAAATTCTGCTGCACTTAAGGTTCCCAAGAGCACAGTGGCCTCCATAATCCATAAATGGAAGACGTTTGGGACAGAACCAAAATTCTAATAGAATCTTATCTGATTCTGATTTGGGTCCTGGTGTGCTACCAATACCTTTCTTTCAGTATTGAATAACTACACAGGTAACACAGTTATTAACATTCTAGTAACTACCATTAACTATTAGCACTCATTTGATTGTAGTAGTTCACTATTAGCTTATATATATATATATATATATATATATATATATATCTACCTCTTCCTGTCGGAACAGATTAATTAACTAACTAATTAACTCTATTAATTAACTATTCCAGGCTGAGATCCATACATTGTGTCCTCCTGGAATGGCCAGTTTGATAACATTCCATGGAAGAAAAGTGTGACTTTGTCATCTAAATATTTAATAGGGTAAATGATGTTTCTTATAAATTACTTAATCTTTTTTTTACCTGTTAATATCTATTTAAAAATGTTTCCATATATTGACTTTTTTTTTGTTCTTCTGAAGACGAATCTTCTCATCTCATCTCTTTTGGGAATGCAGATATAGACTACAATTTTATTTTGGAAGGATTTCTGTATCTTTGTACGTGCTTTTTCTTCACAGAGTTTCTCTTTGTTATACAAAGACGTTTTATTTGGTTATCAGGTTCAGGTTCAGGTTCACTTTATTTGTAGACTAGGTTTGCAGTGTTATGAGTTCTCACATCTTTCACATTTTACAGACACCACAAACATTAACCAACATATATGATAAAAGTGCTTTAAGGTTCCCAGCATCACTAAAAAAACCACCTAGACTAAAAACAATAAATTACCAAAAAATGTATAAATAAATAATAATGTTCCTAAGACCTATCCTTATTCAACTAAGTGATAGCTGCTGGCACAAAGTTGTTTTTATACCGCTTAGTTCTACAATACGGAAATACAAATCTGCGTCTAGATGGCAGAAGTTTAAATTCATTGTTCAAAGGATGAGAGTCATCATTTAGAATTGAGTTAGTCATCCGCTGTAACTGTCTGGTATACAGGGATGCACTAAACTGTGACTCCCCAATCAGCTTACAAGACCATCTAACAATTTAACTCAGTGAATTCTTGTTCTTTACAGACAAGTTTCCAAACCAAGACACCAGAGAAAATGTTAAGAGTGATTCAATAAAAGCACGATAAAATAACATCATCATGGTCCTGTCAATGTGAAAATGGGCCAGTTTCCTTAAACAAAACAGACGCTGGTGCCCCTTTTTACACACTGCTTCACAATTTGCTTCAAAGTTCAACTTAGAGTCAATGATAGTCCCAAGGTATTTGTAAGATTGCACAGATTCTATTTTCTGACTTTTAATAGATGTAACTTCATGTGGGTGGGCTTGTTTCCTAAAATCAGTAATCATATCTTCTGTCTTAGATAAGTTTAATTGGAGGTAGGACTCCTCACACCACTTTACAGTCATCAATAATCAGGCCATGGCTGGTCTCATTGCCCTGAAGCTCACCAACAATAACAGTGTCATCTGCATACTTAAAAAAAGTCCTGTTTTCCCACTTACTCTGACACATATTTGTGTAGAGAATAAATAATAGTGGTAAAAGCACACATCCTTCTGGGGAGCCCATAGAGGAACAAACTTGGTCAGAAAGGGTTCCATTCACCCTTACTCTCTGTGTCCTATTAGTTAAGAAATCAAGAATCCAGCCCACAGTATTGTTACTCAATGTAAACTGTTCTAAAAGCCTATAGAACATGGGGTTGGATTGTGTTAAAAGCAGATGAAAAATCAACGAATAAAAGTCTAGCATGAGACCCATTACCCTCCAAGTGTTTATCAAGTAAGTTTAACAAGGTAACTGTAGCGTCCTCTTCTCCTCTATGTGGCCTATAAGCAAATTGCATAGGGTCAAGTGTATGTTCAGTTTTCCTTAGAATTTCTTCCCTTACCAGTTTTTCAAGGGTTTTAATTAAAATTGATGTAAGAGCAACTGGTCTAAAATCATTAAGGGTATTGGGACTACTGGACTTGGGAATCGGGACTACCACAGCATCTTTCCACACCTTAGGTACAAATGCTGTACCTGTAGACTTATTAAAAATATAGGTAAAAACAGGACTCAACACTTTCACACAGGTTTTAAGCAAACGTCCACAGATATTATCAGGCCCACAGCTCTTGCTTACCCGTATTGAAAGGAAAGCCTTTTCAACATCATTTTGATCTATATCAAAGTGCTGAATATTGGAGAAGTCGTGGCCTAATGGTTAGAGAGTCTATGTGGCCTATAAGCAAGTCTCGTACCGGCAGGGATTGTAGGGGGGGGGAGTGAATGTACAGCGCTCTCTCCCACCTTCAATACCACGACTGAGGTGCCCTTGAGCAAGGCACCGAACCCCCAACTGCTCCCCGGGCGCCGTAGCAAAAATGGCTGCCCACTGCTCCGGGTGTGTGTTCACGGTGTGTGTGTGTTCACTGCTGTGTGTGTGCACTTTGGACGGGATAAATGCAGAGCACTAATTCCGAGTATGGGTCACCATACTTGGCCAGATGTCACGTCACTTTCACTTTTTTATCCTTAAGTTTATCACTCAGTTCCTGAGTTTCATTACTAAAATCAGAAATATCAAAACGATTATAAAAACAATTAAGCGCATTGGCAAAATCAGCATCTGAATTAAGCACTTCCAGTGTAACCTGGCTGCTATTCTGTATATTCTGAAGGCCCGTTATAGACTAGCCCAGGCTGAGCCAAGGTTATTTGTGGCCATTTTATTCTCCAATTCAGATTTGTAAGTCTGTTTTGTTATCATAACTTTAATAAAGTTAAGGACTGATATTTTTTGATAAACTCATTTTTCTAGCAATTTTTTTTACACAAATGTAAATTTCAGGGTGCTAAGCCCTGCTTTTTTTGTTTTCTGTAAGGAACCTAAATCCTACCTAGACACTCTTCTTACATCCAGCAACTCTAAAGCTCTTAAAACTGTCTCACTGTGTCATTTTTGTTTTTTCATGATTTTGTACCCTGCAATTTTATTTTCAATTCATAATAATAATAATAATAATAATAATAATACCTGACCTAAACTATTTACTTTAGTTTAGAACTATCCGTTTTATAAAAAAAATAACCTTAACACACCTTTAGTACAGTGTTTATGCCTTTATGTTCTATACTATATATATTACACAAATCCTTTCAATTCATGAGCATCTGCTTGCACTGACAATATACTTTTTTTAATATAGTTATATATAATAAGCCCAAGATTTTGCCTATCAAATCTAACATCCTTGACCTAACAACCTTGACTAGAAATAAGGATGTTGCTTTCTGGAATGGAAATAAATACTTCTTATTTCCACAGACAAAGACAGAAATAAATGTGACTGTCATTCATTTACTGACTTCTCAACCTGAAGCATATGATGAGGGACTATATGTGGATAATGGCTGAATAACTGTACAGTACAAAGGTCACATACACATTTACGTGCATTTAGGTTAAGAAAACCAAGTTGTGACACAATAAACAATCACAGCAGTTGATTTTCCCAGTTCAGTAAGATTTATTAAAACAGTAAAAATGCTGTAAAAAATGACATAGAGGTATGTCAGATATTTTAAAAACATCTATGAGAACAATAAAAACATATCACACCATGAAATCATTACATTAATACAACATAACACTCCAGGCTGCCCAGTCTTAAAACATGTTCAATAACGACTCTAAAGATGGAATACAATCACTTCCTTTGAAAATGGACATCCATAGAGGACGCCTTCCAGGTGGACGAATAATGTCCAACGCCTCCTTCCTTCAGATCACAACTTAGCAAGACAGACTGCAGAGCCTGAGCATACGCTGCAGAAAACAATCATAAATCACCAATAAATAAACTCTAAAGTTGAATAAATGTCGGTGTCAAAAAAGTTGAGCAATGTGGGCACGATTACCCTTGTGAAGAAGTGTGCTTAATTGTACTGAATGTGTACTTGTAATCTTAAAAGTATATATTAAAAAACTGTACTTGCAGATAAAATATTAATAAAATAAAAGGCCACTTAAAAGTACTTAAAGAACACTTTCATGCTTATGTTTCTTAACTCACTTACCATTAAAAGGTGCACTTGTAATAATGCAAAAGTTATTAACAGTTATTTTAAAAATACATTTTAAATCATATATTTTTAATTTGATGTGCTAAGATGCTAAAGCACATGTAAAATACTTGATTAACTGTAGTGTTTTATTCAGTATTACATTTAAAGTTAATATATTTGAAATACATTACAAATAACAAATATAAATTCAATATGTAACATACAAGTTTCAAAAGAAAGTACATGAAATTGTATTTTAGTTTAGCTTGTCAGTTCATTTAGCAGTAAACTTTAACCATATTTTAAAGATACACAATATAATGTTTTCATTGAATTGTATGATTGTAAAACATTAGATTCACTTTCACTTGAATATATTGTTTTGAAATATATTTCTTCCTAATAAGTACTCTTTTTAAAAGTATGAAATCCTTTTCTCAGAAGGGTATTTAAAATGTTTTATAAAATAAGGCTGTTGTTGTGATGAACTAAATCCATGATTAAACTTCAGACTGTCTGGTAAAAATATGTACCGTTATACTCCGTCATGGAAAGTGGAAAAACAAAAGATGTCAGTTGTGACAGGTCCCACATGCACTGTCTGTCAAGTCATGGTACTGTGAGTAAGAACATTTATGATATAAAAACAGGCACGATGTGACAAGTTTCCCAGCAACACAATCACAACCAATCAGAACATTTCTGAAGTTCAGTTATGAGGAGCAGGATTAAGGACCAATGATATTTCTCTGTGGGAGGGGCTATGCCACAGAAATAGGAACCAAGCACCTAACAAAATGTTGTGTCACTTGGACAAAAACTCAGAATTACACAATACACAGTGTAACAAGACAAAGAAAAGCAGAATACTCTATAAATATAATAAAAACTAAGGACACCGAGTGAGTAGTTTACCTTTTGGATTCTTGTAGAAGATGCAGTTGTTGGCGCAGGTATCCGGATGACTGTCCCAGAACGAGTCTCCACAGCAGCACAGAGGAGGCAGTTCTGTTTTATCCTTCTCCAGCTTCTCTTTCATTAGAGCCTGCATGGCCTCAATGTACCTGTCACGCAATCATCACATACCACAACAGCTCTTTACATACGATTAGAGCACAATTCTAATCTACTGAACAGAAAACAATAGAAGTTATGGTGCATTTATCTTTTGTTTATGGTTATATTTTGGGGTCAGTAAGATGTTTAAGATGTTTTTTTTAATTATAAATTAATACCTTTAGTCAGCAAGGATGCATTAATTTGATCAAAAGTGACAATAAAGGCATTTACAATGTTACAAAATATTTTTATTTTAAATGAATGCTGTTCTTTTGAACTTTCTATTCATTAAAGAATCCTGAAAAAAATGCACCATGGTTTCTTCAAAAATACTAAGCAGCACAACTGTTTTTAATATGGATAATAATAAAACATGTTTTTAAGCACCAATTTAGCATATTAGAATAATTTCTGAAGGATCATGTGACACTAAAGACTAGAGTTAGCCTATGACTGCTAAAAATTCAGCTTTGCTATCGTGTTAGGCACGACGCGAAGCGGAGTTGGGGGAGGGGGTCGTCATGTGACACACAGCCACAACAGCACTTATGTTTTATTTATTCTTTCCTTTTTATTCGAAACATCCCCAAACGCATTAACTATATCATGAAATATCTTGATTCTCACCTTTATAGATTATGTTGATCTATGACGGTCAAAGTAACCTAATAATGTAATCTATTAACTATGCATACAAACCTGTCTGTTTACTTAAAGCTGCAGTTCGTAAATTTTGCCTCTTTGTCGCCATCTCTGTTTGAAAACCTGGAATTGCAGCTGTGTGCGGAATTATCTAGCTTGCGTGGGTTGTGAGTCGGCGCAGCTCCAGCGCGGATGAATCTAATGTTCTGAAGAGTATGTGTGGCAGTCAGTCACCGCACCGGTGTGGATATTTACTGTACTTCGCAATCACAGATTCTAGCCTATGTCTTGGAATATGACCCAAATAAGAATTTTCACCGTATATTGCCATCTGAACAAGTAAGTAACAAGTCTGCCACGTTTGTTTTGACCAACTGAGGAAAAAAGCATTACTATAAATCTCGCTACCGATGGTGATTTAATCTAAAGATCGGTTAGCTCATATCACATCAAACCTTTCAAATTATTATTATTGTTATACTTTATTCTCAAATGATTAATGTTAACAACATCAGCATCGATCTATTAATACGCAAATTAGCCCCGCCTCCACTCAGTCACACACCAGCCAGCCATGAGCCAGCGCCTCCTGATCCACTGAACTGTAGTAAACGTGATACAATGGCAATGGTAAGTGGACATATTGGTTTAATTAAGCCATACGTGCGGATGTCAATGCGGGAGAGGTGCGTCTGACTCTGGGCTACTTTTACATTGCTGGTTATTATTCAAGTTAGCCGTTCTAAATACAAATAAATAAGCGCTAACAGCACGACATCGTGAAAATAGGGGGAAATATTAACAGTTGGCGAAACATCTACAGAAAAAATATAACTTTTACCGGATTAACCTGGCTGCCTTCTCACTAGACCCTCTGCTTTGCAGCACAGTTAATGATATGCTAAGGATAGGATACCTTGACGCGATTGGTTATTGAATTTTGTGACACAGCAAAACAAAGGCTGTTTCAAACCGCGTTTCTGTGACTGCCTTTGGGAAACTACAGTTTTAAGGAGAAAATACTCAGCAATGGTGTTGATAAATGGATTGGCACATGGTTTGTCTAAAAGCATATTAAAAACAACACAAAGACAAATAAACAACATAAAAAACGTGATTTTCACCACAGGGGGACTTTAATTATTCTGGCTGCTGTGAGAAAAGGCTATAAACGATCCGCCACCTGCAGAATCCTCACATGCGATAGCCTACTAGCCAGGACGCCTTCTTTATGTTTACAGACGTGACGTAATGACGCAGTGCCATGCTCGAATTTCCCGCGAAAACCTACCCATACCACTCAAATTAGAAAACATTATTATAAGCTAACCGTTGTGAATCAGGTTAAAGTAAGGCGATAGTTTTGAACACTGGCTGGTTATGTACTTGCTCAATTATTGATTTCGGATCATTTTTTACAAAAAAAGTTATGGACTTCAGCTTTAATTAACAGATATGAGTGTCATGCCATAACATATTTTTAATACGACCGAGTTTATATTTAATGTGAATTTAACATTGCAAGTTAGTCTACTAATCATAACACTTTCATTGTACAGAAAGAGAGCAAAGGACATTTACATTATCAAAGAACATTTTCACTGACAGTCTAGTTCAAGCACTCTCAAAAACTCCCATTAAAATCACTGAAGCTGTTTACACTATGAAATTAATATCTTACAGATTCGTACAAACATTTGCACTTTGTTGTTTCTGATGAGAGAATTCGCCAGAAAGAGGTATTCAGTGAGCCAGCGAGTGAAGAAAACACCGGCATTTTAGCGAGGACTCATCTGAACACCTCTGATTGGTCATTGCATTCATAAGCTCAACAGCATCGTGTGTGATTGGTTAATGCAGTGCTGTAAAAACGCGTCTGTATCTGGCTCATTGCCAGCCAGCGAATGCAGATTTGAATTTAGCAGCTGATGATATGACGTATTGAATGTTCTAATCACACCGGTGTGATTGAATTAAATATAGAAAATATTAATCGGCTATTTTTTGTCTTTTAGAAGCTGCATTCAAAATCCACTTGGCTCAAAAATCTGAGGGGGCACGTGCCCCTCACTTTGAATGGGCATGACGCCTCTGCTTCCACCAAACAATGCACAAACGTAAACAAAGGTGTATGTTTGTAGAGTAATTTACAACAGCTGCGAACGCGGCTCAGCCAATCAGAATCAAGGACCAGAGCTATCCGTTTTATAAATTCCATTTTAAAACATATTCAAATAGAAAACAGTTAAACTGCAAGATTTTAATCTAATAATATTTTACAATATAACTGTTTTTACTATATTCGTGATCAAATAAATGAAGCCTCAGTGAGTATAATAGATTTTTTTTTTCAACCTTCCCACCCCAAACTTTTAATGTATTTATGATTATAATGAACATACTCATAGCAAGATAACTTGTGCAGTATGTACCGTTTGCTTTCTTTGTTCCTCTTTGTTTTCTCTCGTCTCTGTACCTTCTCTGCTGCCTCCTCCTCCTCAAGCCTCAATCGCTCCAAAATCAAATACTCCCTCTCAGCCATGTCTTTTCTTTCTTCCTCCTGCTGTCGCTGCCTCTCCATCTCCTTCTCCTCTGCTTTCCTGAGTTGTTCTTTTTCATTCTTAATCCTACACACAGAAAAAAGTTCTCAGAGTTTATAAAAGAAAGTGTAAAGCGCAACATGAAGTCTTTTGTGTTCTTGTACAACTTAATAAAAGAAAAATGATGTGTGGTTACTTGCTTCAACAGTACAAAAAATGCACTTAGGCTTAATGACAGACTACTAAAATAAACTAAAACAAAACAACTTTTTTGTAAATATATATATTTTTTTTATACATTTAAAAAGAATGTTTAATGTTTACGTTAAATTAATTTTAGATAATATGTGCACATACATATAAATTAAGTTTAAAATATTTTATTTTTAACTATGTCTTTTTTATATTGGTCGTTGTGTCGAAGACCTAGCAATCATTCTAACAGTCTTATTTTTAGTCCCGTATTATCCTTATTTTACAGTAACTAGTCAGTCATGTAAACTATTTACTGTAGCCTGAATACAAGAGAGACACCAAAGAGAAGTGAGCAACCATTATGCGTAAAGAAATGAAAATAGACATGCTTTTTAGTAGAAGTGAGATAAGCAATGTAAATGTGATGCTGTTGTAGAGAAGATGCTTGTAAACATGTAGTGAGATTTGACCTTGCAGTTCTATTCAGATGTTTCCTGTGCCTTTGGTGCTCCTTCACTTGCTCTCGCTCAATGTCCATGAAGTGGCGTCGATACATGAGGAACTGAGACTGTCTCTGAAACAATACAGTTAGCGCTTTGCAGAAAACAAGATTCCACCTAAATCAAGACTAAACACTAAATACACTACCAGAAATTATATTTGTATTCATTAGTGATCCATTAAATGTAAAAGTCACTGAAAACATTTATTCAATATTCAATATAATTTATTCAATTAATATATTTATTCAATAGACATATTTTTTTTCAAGTAAATGCGGTTCTTTTGAACTTTCTATTCATCAGATAATACTGAAATCACCATTTGCGCAAAAATTTTGAGCAGCACAACTGTGCTTACAAGAAATGTTTCAAATCAGCATATTAGAATGAATTTGTATGAATCATGTGGCAGTGATTTTCAAATATATTAAAGGGGTCATATGATGCTATTTTAAAGATCATTATTTTGTGTATTTGGTGTAACAGAATATGTTGACATGCTTTAATGTTCAAAAAACACATAATTTTTCAAATACGGTACATTATTGTAGGTCCTCTATGCCCCGCCTCTCTCAAACACGTCGCTTTCAACAAAGCCCCCTCCTTTGACAAGCGCAGTCTGCTCTGATTGGCCAGCTGACCCAGTGCATTGTGACAGACATGGCTGCATCAACACGACTGCTGTTCCTGAAACCACACCTTCTTTCTTTGCGTGCACATTTGGGCGGCATTATGCTAATATTTCCACATAGTGATGTAGACATGTGGGGGCGTGTTAGAACGAGCCGTTTTAGGTAGGCGTGGTTGAATCTTAACTTTTAAAAAGAATATCTCTTTCTTTGGATTTGAGACTTTAGTCTTTGCAACTTTACAGATCTTCTTTATGCACCAAGAGCTTGTAACACTCCAAAGAGAAAGGAAAACTTGAAATCGCATCATATGTCCCCTTTAAAATAGACAACCGTTATTTATTTACATTTAGTCATTTAGCAGATGTTTTTATCCAAAGCGACTTACAAATGAGGACAATGGAAGCAATCAAAATCAACAAGAGAGCAATGATATGCAAGTGCTAACGCAGTACTACGTAGCAAGTTTTTTTCCCCAATTATATAGTAAATAAAAAGAAAACATAGAATAGAAAAAGAATAGAGCAAGTTGGTGTTAGAGGCCTATTTTGCTTTTATTTATTTTACAATTAACAAAAAGAAAACAAATAGATAGAATACAAAAAGATTAGAAAAGCTAGTGCTAGTTTTTTTTAAAGAAAACAAGCAGTTCGTAAATGAATAGATTGCAAGTCTAAAAGGGACAAGGTTTTTTTTAAAGAATAGAATTAGGATAATTTATTTGCTTTTATTTGATTGCTTTTATTTTAATAATTATTTAAATAATTTATATTTTAAATTATAATTTATTTATTAGAAAATGTCTTTTTATTTTTTATTTGCCACAATTAGAAACATTGACATTGATCTCCCTAATAAACAGGATTATAAAGCATAATTCCCCACCTGCCTCTTCAGCTCCTCCTGATTCTCATGAGGCCAAAGCACTTGGGATGCTCTGTAGTCAGTTGTGAAGGAAACAGTGGGATCTGGCTCATACACCTGCAGAGACACCAATATGTATGCAAGACATAATAAAAGGCATTGTATTATATAATAATATTATATTATGTTAAAAATGTTATAAGGGTCATTTGGTGAAAGACACCTTGAACAGCACTGATTCAGAAAGTACATCATTATTCTGAAGCGCCCACTTAAAACAGGTAGAGAATGTCTAAGCTATATGTAAAACCACCAACCAGCGTGTGATGTTTAGGGACAGGTGAATTTAAAAATAAATGATATTACAATTATAATTAAGTAAGCAACAAACTGGTAGCTCATTAAAATAATGGCACAGTAGTAGTATTAGGAGTTTTGGATACCAAGGACCCTCCCAATATGACAATCCCCTTGTGAGGGACCCCATCCCTAAAATATAAAATCAGCTATATATTATCATGTATTTAAATCCATTTGTACTGTGTGAAAAGAATATTATGTGTGATGTGATAAACACGAGAAAAATCATTTCTAGTGCTGCTAATAGAATACATTAATCACAATTATAGTTAGAAGCAGAATGAAATAGTAATATTATCAAATTTAGAAAACATGAATGTAGAATAAAGTTAAATGTATTTAATTAAATGTTAAAATGTGACAGCCTTAAAATACATTTTACATTTTATAAATCTTTTATCCTCTCTTACATTTTTTGCAGTTCCCCTAGTATCTCATGCAAGTTAAAAACAAACAAACAAACCATCAAAAATAAAAACAATAGACCTGGGGTTTTCAAACAGCTGTCCAGGGACCACCAGGGGGCCGCAAGGTTGTTGTGTGATAGGAAGGTTTAGAGAAAAAAAATCTCATAATACATATTTAAAAAAATTAAATAAAAACAATATATATATATATATATATATATATATATATATATATATATATATATATATATATATATATATATTTTAGTGTCTCT